AATATCACTGGTTTATTTAGTTTCTTGATATTTTATTTTAATTCTCTCAAGGACTATGGTTTACCTTATTAATCATAGCAATTGCAAATTTAATTAATTCAATGGAATGGATGAGATTTAAAATTGTTGAAGTGATCAGCTCATCTAAGCAATAAAAATAATTAAAGGAAGTGAGATTCTCTAATGCATCAGTCCCATGCAAACTTGAGCTTTATATTTATATAAAAAGTTTTATTTATTTATTTGCATAGCCATAGACAATACATCCCTGAGGACCATATTTATTGAGCATAAATTTATATAGCTGGGGATTGGTTTGATTTCCACTGCATCAGGAAAGAACGACATATTTTTGACATACATTAAAACCTTAAATTAAGTTCAGGAAAAAAATTGTGCTGGAGAACTACATCCTCTCAACCTGAACAGGCCTGATTTTTACCTTGTGTTTGGGTTATAGAGTAACTTAACTAACACCAGCTGAGCTATTTACAACTGTGCCACAGTAAGACAGACAAAATTCAGAGTTACTGCATCCACATTTTCTACACATTAATAGTGTTTCTCTTGATATCTTGGGACTTCATGAAGTGTCATGCACATACTTGTTGAATATAAATATAAAGGACATATTGTTGGGCATAAAGGACACAACCTCCCCACATAGCTTTAATTACTCTCTGTTCAAAAAGGACAAGGCAATACACAGTTTATTATTTTTCCCCACATGAGGAACTTGACAACTTCAGCGCTCATGTTTTGTGCTATGGTGGGGAGAGGAAGTAACTCCAAAATGCAGGCTTTTCCTCCTTTTTGTGTGGCAAAAGGACTCAGTAAGCTATACACCAGCACAGAGTGTGGTGAGGAGCAGTGCCAAGTTTGGGTGCTATCAATTGCCTCAGCCATTGATGAGAAGTTCCCAGCTCAAAGCATGGAAATGAGCAGACTCCAAACGGACACCAACACACTCCTGAAACCAGATAAGGGATTTGTCTTTTTCCCTGTGTCCCGAGTCTGTTCTGCATCTAGGCCACCTCTTGGCCTGCTGCAAGGCCAGCCTAGCCCATGTTCCCACGTGCTGGTGCAGCTCCAGCTGTTGATGGAGCAGAGGCCTCCTGCTGCCATAGCGTGCTTGTGGCTGTGCCTCAGCCCAGCCTGGCTGAGGCCAGACCAGCAGATCCACAGGAACAGGCTCAGGCCTAGCAGAGCCAAGTCCCAGCCTGGCAGTCCTACTTGCCTGCAAGTAGCCTGACTTACAGAGTATTCAGGGACAGCCTGGCCTTGTGCCAAAAGGACTTCATTTATCACCTGAAGGGCTGCCACATGTCAGTAAAATCTGCTGCTGCCTTTGGGGAAGGGATGAAGATTGATCAGAGTCAGACTTGAGCCTGATGTTGCTGGCTAATGGACCCTGCCTGACTGCCATAGCTTGTACACTGTCTGTAAGGTCTGGGAGGAGGTGGCAGAGGCAGGAATTATGGGCTGTAAGGAAATGGGAATGAAAAACCAGCAGAAGCCCCTCCAGTCCTTACGGAGAGACCTTGACTGTGTAACTCCCATTAGGAAAATATTACCCAAACACAGCACAAATCCTGCAAGAGCAAACTCCACTTGGGGAAAAAACTCCATGGCTTTACCAAGCTTGAATCAGCGATTTTCCAGAATGGGTTGGAGCTTGCATCAGACTAATGCAGATTTTATCATTATTTGGGATCTCATAAACCAAAATTAGCAAAGCAGCTGTAAATGCCAAATGTCATAACAGGATGGTGCAACAGTGTTACACCACAAAAAATGTCAATTGCAAGACAAGAAATCAGAGTGTTAAAAACTAAGTTCACCTCAAGTTAAAAGAGGACCATGAAATCAAAGTTTACCAGAAGAAGATAAAGAAGAAAAATCAGGAAAATTACAATGGATGAAGAGATGGTTACTCATCAGTTTTCTTTTCAAACTTCTAAATTTAAAAAAAGGGAGCATTAGTACACATGGAACTGCTGGAAAAGTAATAGTTACCCAAGATAACAAATCCTGTGCAGGTACATGCTCAGCAAATGAAGTAAGCTTTTAATGTAACTTGATGTGCAATCCCACAAAGAAAAATCATTAGGTTCTCTGAACAGCAAAGCTCAACCTACATTTCCATTCATTTTAAACTCTGGAAAAAGGATCCCCCTACACACTAAGTACAGCCATGTCACAGTAAGAACCTGAGAAACAAAGCAATACTGAAAATCTCACCAATGCACAAACTCCTGCAGCCCAGGTAGAAATCACAACAGTGAGTATTGGTGAGGAGTAGCTGTAAGTGGAAAGGATGAGGAAATTCTGTGAGTTCTAAACCAACTTTCACATATACATTACTTAAGTGAACTACTATTTGTAGTTCACTTTCCTTATTTTTCCTACACCATTCATTAGGCATCATAAATACAAGGCTGGACAGAGAAGAAATCATAGATTTATTAAAAGGATGAAAAAAAGAAAATGCTGAAAAATGAACTGAATTAGTTATGTGCAAAGCAGTGTCTGCACAAAAAGCTCAGATTTCAGAGATGCACTGGAGCCCTGCTTGTAGAAGTGAACCAACTTCTTCAAGGCAGATTTCCGTGACATTTCTTGGCTATGAACATGGACAGTAAGGACTGCACAGAAACAGAATCATTTATTATTCAGCCTATTTAGCTTTCCAAAAATAACTGCCTGTACACAGTCATCTTTGAGAAATCACCCATCAATTAAACTAGACCTCTGCTTTTCTACAGAAATGACCCTGAAAAAAATAGTTACCCTTTTATTCTTATTATTCTTAACTTACACACACTTATTGTTAGAGCTGAGCTCCCTTCCTCCGGCACATTTCCTTTTTCACTCTTAGTGCTTCCTCATGTGATGCAGCTCCATTACTCATCAGAGATGACAATTTAAAAGGAGATGTCATAGTGACACAAGCATAAGAGCTCCGGTGGGGTGCTGGCAGCACTTGGAATGATTTTAGGGTCATAATTTAGGTGGCTGAAGGCATTGCTGCAGGAGAAGGAATATGACAGAACACGATGCCTGCTGCCAAACCCTGGCATGGTAATTCCAGGTCATGAAAAATCTTCTCTCAGACAGATCTAGAACACAGCAGTTTTTCTGAAACAGGAGCAGAACAACTGGTCCATACCCCCTTGAACTGCACACCTTGGTGCAGGTGATTATGCACAGTTTGTGCAGACTTGTAGAGCCCTGTCTGCCAGTCACCAAAGCTGTTTGCACTCCAAGCCAAACCTCACAGATCCAAACAGTGCATGCAGAACAGCTGGCCTACCATAAAGGAGCTGAACTCCATCCTACACTGCTCAACAAGCTGAAGACTTATGACCACATGGAACCAATTTAGACTTTTGTTTCAACTGAGTTCTGTGCATTTCAGCCCTTCCCCTGCATCAGTTCACTCTTGTCTTGTGTTCATTTTTCCCAACTTGTGGAAACTTACTATTATGTTCTGATTCCAGTAAGGCCCAGGTGAATGGCTCTGGAATCTGACTAAACCGTAAGTGTAACCACAGCTGCAGAAGGGTTGTACCTTTGCCCTAAAAGGACTTGTACATTTGCTTATCTCTCACTATTTTACAAATCAAAACCTTTGGTGAGCTAAAATAGCACAGAAAACACTCCTCTTCCTCCTTAATAAAATTTCTAGGTCAAACCTGTAAGCTTAAGAGAGATGTTGCAGAAATTTGACATGTAATTTTGAGCCATGGTACACTTTAAAATTAAAAAGGAGCTGATTTAATCCCAAAGTGATGCCTAAAGAGGCTACCTGGAACAGAGGCTGAACAGAGTTAAATGAAAATTAGGTATTTATTCAAAGGCCTTCAAAGGCAATACAACACCTTGGCAATACAAGAGCCTGGCTGTGGCTCTGCCCAAGATGACCCCAAAATGGACACAAGATGGACGATGGGTCACGAGTTTTCAGACTTTTCTAAGTTTTGGCCCATTTCCATATTGGGGTCAAGTGTCCAGTTACAGTTTCAGGTTATGAATGCCCATCCTCCCAGACTTCTCTCCTTGATTTGCTGTTGTATACACTTCTTTGGGCCTGAAGCTACAATAGTCTCCTTCGCTCTTGGGCTGGAAAAAGATTGTTTTGTGTGACTGAACTGTGAGGAGAACTTGCTAACACTTTATATGAAGTTCAGACTTAAACACCAAAGTGCTACAGAATCTGAAAAATATGAAAGCTAAAACTTCAGGCATCACAGGCACCAAACAATTTTATTAGTCTAAAAATGCTGTAAGAAACAGCAAATTCCCACCCTTCTGGAGAATTCTGGAGAAGTCTTGGGTACAGCAAATATTCTTGTGAGAGATACCCTTGGCATATAATTCAGTGTATAACAAATGGAAAAACCCAGCTACAGTTCCCTTAAGATCAAGGTACTTACCTCTCTACACTGTTTCTAAAGCAAGGAGACAGACACACCCCACCCTCCAAAATAACTTTATTTTTTGCTTTACACGGTTAGAACACACAAACTCTGAAACTAAAAAGAGCAGAGCTTTCTTCAACTTGGAAGGATGGACTCTCAAACACAAAATACAGTATAAAATAAGCATCTCACTAAAACCAGCACTAATTATTGACATTGGTCAGTCTCATTGTGCAACAAACACTGTCAGCTGAAATTCTTCTGCAGATGCCCTGCAGAATCATGAACAATCCTGGAAACAGCCCCTCCTGCACACTGTTTAACACCCCCTCAACACCTGGCACAGAGAGCTCACTGATGGCAGAGCAATGGCTCAAAGGTGAGAACACTGCACACTGCTGCAGGTGATCCATCAGATTATTGCATCCCACAGCAGAATCTGTAAGGAGCACCATGTCATAAAGAAAGTCTTACCTGAAGATATTTGCACTTGATTTCTGAGCTGCTCTTTGTTAATTTCCGTTTCCCCTAAATTTTCTAAACTGATAAATACTGTATGAAGCAATGAAATGTTCCTACCAATATTAGGATGCTTCAGGAGGCGACAGATTCTAGCTTCTCTCTCCAGTTTCTGGTGATCTGCATCAAAAGAAAGCAAAACAGTTGCTGTTAGCATGAATATTAACACAGTTTAGTGTATCTGCTTTACACAACCATCACATGATCATCATCTGATGGGATCTTTAAAAAACATCTCCTTTATTTAGATTCACTAAGATTTTCACCCGAACTGTAATATTTATTTTTTTTTAACCTTTGGGAAGAGCAGGAGGCTGGAGCTTTGGACTTGTACATCACTGAGCCCTAACAATTTTTTCTGGAGATAAAATACTACTGCTTGTGTCAAGTTCTACTTTCTGCAATAGACAACACAAATATTCCAAAATACCAATTCTGGAAAATTGAACTGCTTGAAGTGTAAAAAATATGCTTTGAACCTTGAAAATATTAAGAAGTGAACAAGTTTAGAACAAGTTACTTTGGATGGTAACTCTGAAGATTCAAAAATTTAGCATGAGATGTTAGAATTAAGAAGTTCAATCCTTACTGCAAAGTGTCCAGTTAGGCCAAAAAACTATATGTACGTCAAAGGAATTATAACAATAAATTTCAAATAAAATAGAGAAAGCAAACACCACCTTTAAAATATTTAGCACTTCAAGTTTCTGACAGCATGTTTTAAATCTGGAGGAAAGAACAAGAAGGAAAACTTGTTTAATTTTTCTGCAGTTTGTACTTCTTAATATTTGCAGCCAACTGTAACAACTGAAACAATTTTACATATGTTAACAGTTCAGATTATTTTCATATGCTTTTAAGAACTGGGATAGTTCTTGAGCTAGTAACTACTCATCAACTGACCCATCATACTTTCTGAGGCCTAAGAACCTCCACCACCTGAATGAGAAAATTTGTCAGCTTAACCCTCTTTACCTTAATGTTTACAAAAAAAACCCCAGAAGTTAAAAGTATTAAAAAGAATTATAAATCTGCAACATAAGGTTAAAGCTCTTTTTTTTTTTTTTTTTAAGTTAAACTCCACCACTGAGGTTTCCCATTAAGATTTTTGAGTTCAGCTGCAGCAAGGCTGAAACATAAGCACAGACATCTACAGTTACAGTACCTTCGTGTCCAGCAGCTCTGGCTGTAACTTAATCCTGGGCTGAGCACTTTGGCACATGACCCAGAGCAAGCAGAGAGATGATCTGCAAGGCAAACTGAACTAAGCTGGGGTGAGAACAGAGATGAAAATGTGAACACTGCCTCAAAAGCGAAGAAACAATCCAGGGGCTATTGGACATTTTGTGTAGGAGCTGTGTCTCTGGTGCACTTCCAGCTCTAGTTTCAAAGGCTGTTCTGTACCACCTCCAGCTATATTTACAGATCAGCCAGCACAGCCAGAAACCTGGAAGGTGTCTGACAGTCTTCTATCAAGTGCTAAAAACATCCTGTGTTGACTCTTCAGGAATAACACAGCTATAATAAAGAACTTCATCTCCGAAGTTGAGTATGAAGTACAAACATTTGAAGTTTCTTTGCTATCAACCACTCTATCACAACTCCTGAACTGACACTAGATGTGATTAATATAATTTATTGATTATAACTGTAATGATTAAAAGAAGCATACCTGATATTGTTCAAATCACAGTAAAAATGTCTTAGAGATGCTGCTGAATGCACTGCAACATACGAAGGTAATATCTACACTATCATAAACGTCATTATTATCGACTGCATTATATATTCCCAGGAATTTACTCCAAATTGAACCAGTATATTGATGGACACCAACCAGGTGTTTTCTGCTGTCATGTAATTAGAACAATGAGCTCTCTTCATTTAACTCCTTCAGTTGTTTGTGTCACAGGATTTGCTATCACACCTGCTGGGTGACTGGAAGTACCTCACAGCCTGCACACTGCACTGAGGCAGCAGAAAGAGCATTAAATACTTCCTTAGCCAGGGATTAAAGTGGACATTAAGGCCCAGAAGATGACAGCAGCATTTCCAAAGAAAGTATTCCTTGGTGTTGTCAGAGGAGTAAATCTGCAGTATCTAAGTGTTTGGGGGTGGATCCAAACACAAATTCACCTTCATGCCATATCCAAGAAAACTACTCTCCTCTAAAATCTGTATGCTTGTTTTATGAGTTTTAGGAAATCCTGTTCCTTCCTCTGTCCACTGGGTTTATTTACAAGTACTTGCAACTGCTGTGCCACTCATAGCTATTTGTGTTACCCTGCCTCTTGCCAGGGCTCAAGTGCCAGGGAGCTAAAGGTGAATGTCAGAGGGCAGGGCACACCGAAATACTTTGAGCACTCAGCTCCCAAACATCTGAAGGGTAAGGTGTGCCACTGCAGAGTCCACTGGGAAACAAGAGTCCTGCCACACAGCTAGAGAAACTACCTAGCAGGCACAAACTCCCCCAAACCCTGGGAAAGTTTGGGATAGCATCTGGTGTCAAATGTTTATGCTACAACAGTAACAGCACAAGAAACGTTGCGTAAAAAATAAATGCAATAAGAGGTCACTTATTGAAATCAAAGAGTTAATGCCTCTCAATTTTGACAGCCTATAATTCACCAGATAAAACTGCATTTACCTGCCAGGTAAACATGAAACAGGAAAAATTATTATCAGGAGCAGGAAGCCAAGCTTGAAAGCTGCACAGATAATAAAAAGGGAACACACAAGTACGTTTATATACTTGTTTCCTTTATTTTGATTACCTAGACTCAGTTACAAACAGGTCTCCTACATTGCTTAAGAAACTGTAATTAATTGAAAAATACAAACTCAAAAAGCAGCAAAGCAAATGCAAAAGAAGGAATGCTCTACAAATTCTAGATTATTTTATGAAAGCAAGTCTCCATTAGTGAAAAATGGCCTCTACCACAGCAATAGCCCATTGCCAAGACTGGAAAAAGATCACTGCCTGTCAACCATTGATACCATTGGAAAGAAAGCCGCAATGAGAATAATGCCAGTTTATTAATGAAAAAAACCTTGCAGCCACCTACAAATAAGTATAATCAGACATGGAGTCAAGAAAAAAGAAAACAACAAGATTTAATGCACTGAACCATGAAAATCTCAGCCTTTACAATAACTAATGAAATTCTGTGAAACATGAAACAGACAGAATATAGCTGTAAAATTGGGGGTACTTATAGACTGTTTAAGCTTAAAATCTGGAACTAGTCCTCATTCACATGATGATGTTCTAATAGACCCAAAGCTAATATTATAATTTATGACACCTGCTTCAAAAAATTAGACTGCCTGCATTGAGTTTCTACTACCTAGGCAAATAAAATAACTAATTGTTTCAGTAGTATCAATGTTTGCTTTCTTACAAAAGCTTACCTATATGTAGACTACACGCATTTCTGGGATTGCATCATAACATCATAATTAAAGACATATAATCTATGAATTTAATTATGTATTGTATGTCTTAATATATGAAAATATACAATTAATGTCTTCAGCATTTATCTCTTCTACTAAAGTACCATGAATTTTCACCCAAAGTGCTGATCTTGCGTGACCACCCAAACGGAGCTTAGCACCAGGGCCACCTATCAACACAGGTATCTAAAATGCAAATGTCTCCAAAGCAAAGGATCTTCCTAACAAGAACCTGAAGTAACTTCTGTAGTTGCTTTTTGTTATTTTATTATCAGAGCTTGCAGTCCACAGCGAACAATATAAAAGTATTTTCCCCATGTCCCTTGCATTGTCTTGTCCATTTCTTATTTTTCCCCCAGGACTGACTGGATAGATTATGATTCAGTATGAAGGGATGCATGTTTTGGCACATGTCTTGCTTATCTTTTTGAGGATGGTCTCTTGAACCTGCCTCCTACTCTGTGCAATACAGCTAAACACCTGTATTTCCCATGTTTTTCTTTACACAGCTAAATGAAGAGAAAACAAAGAGCACTAACATGGAAGGGGTTCTTCAGACTGCGCTGCAACCCACAGCAGCCTGATGCTGTTAAATTCTGCCATGGAAACCAGAAAATAACTGCAGAAATTCTGACAACAGAATGCACAGGTTAACAGAGCAACAACCTCCCCTCCCACTACCCTCACTTTCTCAACTTGGTTGACAACTAAATATTTGTGATTTAAGGGCATGGTATGCATAGGAATAGTGCTGTAAAAGACACTTGCTTTAAGCCCAGGACTGTGGTTTATACGCAATATAACTGCATCAAATGCAGTTTCTAAAAGCCCTCTGATGAAGCCTTAAGGCTCTGGAAACAGCCCAGTTCTATTTCTTAGAGCTGACCACTTCTGTAAGTTGAATCCACTAGTGGGTGTCCTGGTTTCTGCTAGGATAATTCCCTTCCTAGAGGCTGGTACAGTGCTAAGTTGTGCATTTAGGATGAGAATCATGGTGATCCCACAGCAATGTTTTAGCAGTGCTTGCACTAAGGCAGCTTCTCACAGCACCCACAGGTTGGGGCTGACCTGCTGGAGAGCAGCTCTGCAGAGACAGACCTGTGGGTCTGCGTGGACAACACGGAGTCCAAGAGGCAGCAGTGCCCTGGGGGCCAAGGATGCCAATGGAATCCCAGGGTGAATGAGAGGAGTGTGGCCAGCAGGATGAGAGGTGATCCTCCCCCTCTGCTCTCCCCGTTGGGGCTAAATGTGCACTACTGCCTCCAGATCTGAGCTCTCCAGCTCAAGACAGACAAGGAAGGGCTGGGGAGGGTTCAGCAGAGGCTACAAAGATGATGAGGGGACTGGAGCACCTCTCTCATGAGCAAAGGCTGGGAACTGGGCCTCTTTAGCCAGAGAAATAAATGACTGAGAGGAATATGACCAACACAGGCAAATTCCCTAAGAGTGGCTGCCAGGAGGATGAGGCCAGACTTTTTCCGTGGTGCCCAGTGACAGGAAAAGGGGCAACAGGCACAAACTAGAACACGGGAAGAGCCATGTGAATATGAGCAAAAATATCTTTATTGTGCGGGTGACTGAGTACTGCAAACAGGCTGCTCCGAGAGGCTGTAGAGTTTCCTTCTCTGGAAATCCTCAACATTCACCTGGACATCATCCTGTGC